ATATAGCAAAAGAGCAAAGGTAGATATGATGAAACAAGTATAGGAGAAAGTGAATATTATTAAATCTATTTTTTTTTTATACATACATTTTGAAGAAAAAGTGAAGAAAAAAAGAAGTAAACCTAAAAGAGAAAAGAAAGAAAAAAAAGAGAAAAGAAAGAAAAAAAACAAGAACAAAAGAGAAAAGAAAGAAAAAAAAACAAGAACAAAAGAGAAAAGAAAGAAATAACAAAAATAAAAGAGAAAAGAAAAACAAAACAAAACACAAAAGAGATCAGAAAAAAAAGCAAAACAAAAAAGAGAAAAGGTAAATATGATGAAACAAGTAAAGAAGAAGATGAATACTATTATCCAATTTAATATAGACCGAGCCTGTCTTTAAGTAAATAAAACAAATAGGTATTAATGCTCCCCATAAGCTAATCATTATTGAAGATAAAAGTATCTGTTATTCAGCAGAAATTTGCGAAATATCTTACACACAAGATATTTGATAAATATCCAATTCCTCTCATATTCTGACGATTAGAATGGTCTCCTATTCAAAGTAGTCTTTATTGATTTGGCAATAGCATAATGCTGTTTTAACCCAGCTCGAATATTATTAAAACAGGAGCACTTCTTCGCGCTTTATAGATAATAGTAATGCTCATGCCCCCCCCCCCTCCCCCAAGAGAGGGATACAGACGTGAGTTGGTTCATTAATGATGCTGTTCGATTCAAGTTGATGTGCTTTCCGATCTAACTCTCATGTCACACTATTTCCACACACACACACGCACACACACACACACACACACACACATATATATATATATATATATATATATATATATATATATATATATATATATATATATATGTATATTTATGTTTATATTTATTTGTAAAGCACACACACACACATATGTATATATATATACATATATATATATATATATATATATATATATATATATATATATATATATATATATATATATACATACATATATATATATATATATATATATATATATATATATATATATATATATATATATATATATATGTGTGTGTGTGTGTGTGTGTGTGTGTGTGTGTGTAACACACACACACATATACATATACGTATACACAACAGAAAACCAGAAAACCAGAATTTCAATCTTATGAAATTACTGTTCTATCGAAGTTAAATTTAGATGTTGATAAAGTGATGATAAAATATATATCGAACTGAGGTAAAACGAATTCATTTCTGAGTGTCTGATGGAATTATCCGCCTTATGATGTAATACTGCTAGGGTTGAATTTAAATGTTATAAAGAAAAACAAACGACAAATAAAAAGGCATAACAAAGAAAGAAATAAGAAAGAAAGAAAATAAGAAAAATCGAAGCTTCATTAAACCTAGTGAACTGGGTTAGTGGATTTTTTTTTATATATGTCATTAAAAAATCTTATCTTTATGCGTGTATGTACATGCACGAAGATATTAAATTTATGATGAATTAGACCTTTAATAAAATGTGATTATTATTGCTATTATTATTATTGTTGTTATTATTATTGCTTTTATTATTATTATTACTATTACTATTATTACTATTTATTTATTTATTTGTACAATAATAGAGGAGCATCTGGCGAGAGATACAGGGATTTAATAATAATTGTGAAAAGAAATTCAGCGAGGAATAATAATAATTCTTCTATTAATAATTATGAAAAAAAGAAACGCGAGATGGTGAAGCGAATTGCATCACTGGACATTTTTTTTAATATTATCTTTGTACGTAATCTATGTACATATACTTACACATACACTGTGAGTACACATGACTAAATATACTCCGGCAAATTTGCAAAAAAAAAAAAAAAGAAAAAAAAGATAAAAGTTTCCGTAGTTAGAAACTTCTGTCGATCGTTAATATTTGTTAAACATTTTGTTAATTACTTTGACCTGATTTTCCTCCTTTTCTCCCTCTTTCTTCTTTCCTTTCTTTTTACCTTCCTTCGCTACACTTTCTCTTTCACTTCACTCCCTTTCTCTTTCCTCCACTTCTGTCTTCCTTCTCCATTCTCCACCCTTCTTCTCCCTTCATTTTTTTTTTTTCCCTCCCTCCCCTTCTGACTTCCTTCTCCACTCTTTCTATCTCCCTCTTCCATCCCTTAATCTCTTAACCTTCCCTCCCACCCCTTTCCTTCTGTCTACTATTATTCCTCTTCTGTCCTTTACTCTCCTCTCCTCTGTTCTCTTCTCTTCTCTATTCCCCTTTCCCTCCTTTATCCCCTCCTCTCCTCCATTTTCTGTTCCTCTCCTTTCCTCTCTTCCTTTCTCTTTTCTTTTCCTCAATTCTCTTCTTCTCTCCTCTCCTCCTTCTCTTTTCCTCTCCTCTCCTAGTTTCTTTTTTCTCCTCTCCTCTCCTCCCTTCCCTTTTCTTCCCCTCTCCTCTTCTTTTCTCATTTCTTCTCTCTTCTCCTCTCCCTCTCCTCATCTTTTCTCTCCTATTCTCCTTTTCTCTCCTCATCTTTTCTTATTTTTCATCTTCACATTCCTCTTCTCCTCTCCCTCTGCCTTTCAAATAAGTGAAACCTAAGCCGCTTAACTTCACATCAATGCATTATTGTTTTCCGTTAATTTTTTTCCATTAAATTCCTTCCCTATAAAGACAAATAATTCCCCGGCTGGCGATTCGTATGTTAATCACTCAAACAAGCTTTGGTCTCTGGAATCCATAATGGAGTTCTTTGTATTCCCGATTAAAGAAACTGTCCTCACAGTTTGCATGTGTGTGTGTTTATATACATGTATATATACATACATACATACATACACGCACACACACACATGTACACGTATACATACATAGATAGATACATACACGCACACGTACACACACACAAACATATATATATATATATATATATATATATATATATATATATATATATATATATATATATATATATATATATATTAATACAGTCATTTATTCCACTGCAGGACATAGGCCTCTCTCCATTCATTGTTGAGAGGTCAT